GAAAAGAGTGCTATGCATTCCTGGCCCATGTGATTCGAGAGAAAAAGGAAGTTAGAGACCTCTAGAATGTCCTGGAAGTCTGTGACTTTCTTGATATATTTCCTGTATAGCTTCTAGGAATTCTTTCCGAACGTTAAATTTAATTTTGCATCGACCTAATTCCTGGAACTACCCCAGTAGCCAAATCTCCGTATCGCTTAGCTCCAACAAAAATGTAGTAGTTATCCAGTCAGTTGACCGTCAAAACCGATATCCTCTTTCCTCGAATAGATGACCTTTTCAATCCACTTCAGGGAATGAGCCACTTCTCAAAGATAAACCTTAGGTCAAGATACCATTAACTATGAGTCCATGAAAGTGATGTTTCTTAGACAGTATGCAGGACTCAATATGGTCACCATAAGTTCGTAGTGATGCCCATCGGTCAAATCATTTTCCTTGGTCATGTAGTAGACGATGAAGACATACGTGTGGAATCCTCCTAAGATCAAAGCAATAGAGAATTAGTCGTCACCGAAGATACCCACAGAAACCCGTGAATTCTTGGGTCTCGCTGACTACTATTGCAGGTTCATCGAGAATTTTTCTAGAACCACCAAAACCCTAACCATTCCAATACAGAAAGATGTACCTTATTGTTGGAGGTCTTACTCTAGAAAGACATGGTATGCCTTGGAAACAACAGAAAACTCAACCCGAGGTACATTGGACCCTTCGAGATCCTCATTAGGATCGACTCCGTAGCCTACAAACTCCGACTACCTTAAGAACTTAGCAACATCCATCTTGTATTCTATGTCTCTATTCTTAAGAAGTACCTACCCGACGAAACCCTAGTGATCCCTTTGATGAAACCAAGATCAACAAAAACTTGAACTTCATGGAAGAACCATCCGAAATCAAAGATCGAGAGACGAGATGTACGAAACAAAGCCGTACCCCGATAGTGAAGGTTAGCTAGAATACCGTGCGAGAACCCGAGTTCACTTGAGAGCACGAAGACTAGAATGAACAGAAATAACAAGGTCTCTTTCAAAAACCATGATTGTGTTTCAATTCTAAATTTCGGGACGAAATTCCCTCTAACGGGGGGATAATGTGACAACCCGTAAATTTCGTTCCGTCATTATAACCGATCCGTCAGTAAAATTCGTCGTTTTGAATTGTTTCCGCTTCGTTATTAAATTAAGTCATTAAATTTGAGTCGTTTATTATGACTTAATGGGTGCTCAAACATGTTAATAACTCAAGAAAATATTCCAAATTAACAATTATAAAAGTTTTAGTATCGACCATATCGGGTAACGACGACTTAATCGGGTACGACCAAAAGCCTCGGTAAACGTTAGTATCGGTTAGAATTCCACCATGTCTCAAACTTAACCCATATATAAAGTTCAAAAGACTTCATTTGAAGCCTTTCCTCTCTCTCTCTCTACTCTCTCTCCTCAAATCCAAGATCTAGGTTCCAAAATCATCCAATTCAAGCCTCAAATTGATAAGGTAACTATCCTAACTCATAGATTAGCATCCTTAGCCTTCAATTTCGTGTTCAAATCATTGAATAGGAACATTATCATGAGTTTATGGCCCTAGAACATCCCTAGGCCGTGAACTCACATAAAATGGGTTTTGGAGCCTAAAAACCCTCCTAAACCACCTTTGGAGCTTAGATATGGCTAAATGGCTTAATGGAACGAACTTAGAACACCTTGAACTTAACGTTTGGAGAGTAAACATGAGTTTACTTCCCAAGAGCATGCTTGGGCCGTAAACTCATTATCATGGGTAGTAAACTCCTTCTAAGGTGTTAAATAGCCATTTAAACACACCAATAGCCTTTGAATAAAGTCTAGAAGCAACCACAATCAAGTTAAGGACCTTAAACATGCTAAAACTACCCCCATAGGAGCTTACGACCGTAAACCCCCCAAGAATGGGTTCTTAGGCCGTAAACACCTAAAACTTAGTCAAATGGTGCCTTAAACTCATTCTATGGCTTGTAGAATTAGCTATAAACACTTGTAATGACCTAGGACCACCAAAACATCAAAGCAAAGTGTGTGGGGGAGTTTACGGCGGTAAACTCTTAGTTTACTACCGTAAACACCATTAAATGGTCCATGTATTGGTTTAATCCATTCCTATGCCTTAGATTAAATCCTAGCAACATTTCCCAAGTGATATTTGACCCTTAAGCACCTTAAAACCCATCATTTATGAGTTCAAAACCATGAACTCATGTGGACATGGTCTTAGGGCCGTAAACTCCCTGAGGAGTTTACTCTTGAAGAGCAAACTCATTATCTATGCCCTATACGTCCGTAGATGCCACCTGGGTCACTCCAAACACTTGATTTGAAGTGTTTTCGCATCTTAGAGTGTATTATCATATCTAATTAGTGATTTAAGTCTAATTAGATACATTTGTGTATCATTTAATATTACATAGGAACCTCGCACATTTTCAAGCTTCGATCCGATGTTTAGCATCCTATTCGACACATTCCTCGTCCGGTGAGTTCATACCCATACGCCTTTTTCGTGTTTTTCAATATTTTCAGGGGGGGGGGAATACAAGCAAAATTATAAATGTTTTCAAAACCTAAAACTGATGTATTTCTATAAATATCTAGCTAACTTTTAGATATCCTTACCCATTATGTATTATGCGGAGCATAAGGGATGTTTATTTGAATAATAAATACATGGATTTCAATTACAGTAAACGAAACAATCAAATCAATCAAATTATTATGGGAATAATTTGGGATCTTTAGTTCTTGTTTTATGAGCACAAATTTATGTAAAGCTAATAGATAAACTATGCCTGATTCAGTTTATCTCTTTTTAATTTAGAGTATATTTCCAGATAATCCCATTGTATTAAACTGTTTATATTGTATTATGTTTCAAAACGTTTAGTATGTTTGATAACGTCTGAGAACACCTTGAATAATTTGATACTAGCTTTTGAGATTCATCATTTTAAACCCTTTGGGTTATCAGTAAATCATCCCCGGATGTGTAACCAGAGTCTCTTGGAGGGAAAGCGTGGAATTTGTGAATAGATCTATTCGGGACTATCAATCCCACACCTAAACTGCTAGCTACAGTTAGGCGGGCAAGCCTGGGGTGACAAATTCTGGATATCGTCCGACGTCTGACAAACGTCAAGGAGGTCTCGTTGTTGTATTAGCATGGTTACCCGACTCACAATACGTATTAATATAAGTTTATTTACGGATTTGATTTTGTATCTATTTTCTACCTATAGTTCTTATATCTTTTACGGGATGGTAATCCCATGGTTTTGAATCCATATCTAGTACGAGATCGTACTCCCATGGTTTTATATCTTATATCGAGTACGGGATGGTAGTCCCATGGTTTTGAATCTATATCTAGTACGGGATGGTAGTCCCATGGTTTTGAATCTATATCTATCTATAGTTTTTTGTATATCAAACTATCTTATATCTAGTATGGGATAGTATTCCCATGGTTTTATATCTAGTACAGGACGGCAATCCCATGATTTTCAATCTATAGTTTTTATGTATCAAAGCTATCTTATATCTAGTAGGGGATAGTAATCCCATGATTTCCAATATATAGTTTTACATATTAAACTATACAGTGTGGTCTTTAACTAAACTTTACTTTTAGGAAAATAAGGGTTTTTCTTGGGATAACAAACTGTACATAACCGGATCGTATAATAAACGGATAACTCAACTAAACATATAAGAAAATATGGAATTTTCTTGGACAACAAACTTTTTCGGAAAACCAAAGGAAACTTGTACATTTTCAGAAAACAAACATCTTATGAACTCACCAGCTTTATGCTGATTTTCAGACTGCTTGTATTCTCAGGTCCGCATTAGACATGTACCCAACGATCCTTTTGACGAAGACGGAGTACGTAGATGACACGTCTTTACTTTTGTTCATATGATACATATGTATAACACTTGTAACACTTTACTTTTGAATAACTATAAATTCTAATATGTAATGTAATGGTTGTTTACTTCCTTACTATGCACATTGGTTGTGATACTTAACATGAAGTCACCTCCGCCCCGGAACGTTTCCGCCCCGGAACGTTTCCGCGTGTGACATAAATTCTTCCAAAGACCATAACTTCTTCGTTACAAATCCAATTTCGACGATCCTTATATCCATGAAAAGGTAACGAGAAGATATAATATTTTATCATCTTATAATCATTTTAAAATTTCCCGAAAAAAAATCCAAAAAGCCATAAAAGTATGATCTAACACTTTACCAAAATATCCCTTGGCTCCAAAACACAAACTGAACCCCCAAATCATCAAAATTTACATCACCTACATCCAAATAGCTCCAGATCTCATTTCCTCAAAGGTCCTAATCCTAAAAATACCCTATATTTGGTCACCACACTGAAATAGAAAACAATTTGGAACCGGACGTTACATTAATCTTGTAAGAAATCCACACTATCTTAGGGCTTTTGCATTTGCTATAACAACAAAATTGATGGTTATGTACCTCCTAGTTATAATAAGCTAAAAACAACATTACTTCAAAAAGAAAAAGATAATGTTTACATGCTATTGGATCAACTTAGGTCTGCATGGAAAGAAAAAGGTGTGACTATTGTGAGTGATGGCTGGAGTGATCCTATAAGAAAACCTCTAATTAATTTCATGGCTACCTCAAGTAATGGTCATTTGTTTCTAAAGGCGGTGAATTATTTTAGGGAAGTAAAAGATAGATTTCATATTGCTGAATTGATGAAATAAGTCTTCAATGAAATTTGTCATCAAAATGTTGTGCAAATCATTACTGATAATGTAGCAAAGTGTAATGCGGCTGGAGAGATTATAGAGAGTTAGTTTCCTCACATCTATTGGAAAACATGTGTTGTTTATACCATTAATCTTGATTTGAAGAGCATTTGTTCACCAAGGAAAGTGGAAACAAATGAACTAACATACGAACAATGTAGGTGGATAAAGAATTTAAGGAAGATGCGCTTGCAATAAAGAATTTCATCATGAACCATAACATGAGGTTCTCAGTTCTCATTAAGTTTACTCCTCTTAGACTGCTTTCAGTTTCCGACACTCGCTTTTCCTCCATCATTGTGATGCTCAAGAGATTGAAACTTATCAAAAGGGGTCTTCAAACAATGGTCATAAGTGAAGAATGGTCTTCGTATAGATTAGCTGACATTAAGAAAGCAAACTCTGTGAAAGAATATATTTTGAATGATCGTTGGTGGGACAAAGTAGCATATATTCTTAGTTTCACTGGACCTATATATGATAAGATTAGAGTTTTTGACACTGAAACGCCATGTTTACAATTAGTGTATGCGATGTATGATTCTATGATTGAAAACGTAAAGATTGAGATCTACAAGAAAGAAAAACGTTCGACATCTCAAATAAGTTGTTTTTATGATATTGTGAATTGTATTTTAGTAGATCAATGGGCCAAGAATAACACTCCCCTACATTGTTTAGCTCACTCTTTACATCCAAGGTATAAGATTTTAAAGTATACACTTGATTTCTATTATATATTTATGTTTTAACTTTTGAGTGTTGTAGATATTGTAGTGATGCCTGGTTACTTGAGGATTCTACAAGATGGTTCTCTACATAGGGATGGAGAAATTTTACAAGAAAGGATGAAATGTTTTCAAAGTTTGTTTCCTAATGATGATGAGTATAGCAAATTCTCGATGAGTATGCAATGTTTTCAATTAAGATTAGTCCTTTTGAGGATTTAACAAGCATTTCAAAGATGGCTACTATGGAACCTAAGAATTGGTGGGTTAACTTTAGTGCTCAAACTCCTTTTCCCCAGACTTGGGCTTTTAGAATACTTGGACAACCTAGTTCTTCTTTTTGTGTTAAGCGTAGTTAAAGTACTTATGCATTTATTCACTTACTTAAGAGGAACAAGTTGACTACAAGTCAGTCTGAAGACTTGGTTTAAATTCACAATAATCTTCGACTTTATTCAAGGAATTTCAATGATGATGTAAAGATGTAGGTGGAGATGCTTTTGATTCAATGGAAGATGTATGGTTTTTGGAGGTTGCCAATGTCTCACTAGGTGAGTCGGATTTTGAAAATGATTTGATTATTGATAATTAATTATCTTTGAAAGATTTAGTATTTTTGGAGTTTACACTTTTACATCAATATATATCTTTTTTTTTGTTTTTTAATAATAATAATAGGGAAGTTCAATACATATCGATTAAAGGCAAACGAGCAACAAGTTGCGTCGCTAGCCCTTTCTGGATAGCGAAACCAATTCTTTTGAAAACTACATTTGTGGATCTAGGAGACATGACATTAGAATGCATGACTCGTTGGACTCTATTGAGGAGCTCCATCGGCTCTGGTGCGAGAGAACCAAATCTGTCGAATGCAAAAGGAACAAACACATGTTGATTTGCTATACATGCATTCTCGTGCTTTACCACTTTGCACGCAATGGCTTTCAATGCGGCATGCCCAACTATGAAACACCCGCTCCCCAAACCAACAAGAGGAGAGACCCCAGTAAGATCCACGCATGCATGGTTCCCTCCTATATATTTTGGAATTTCTTTAATATATATATATATATATATATATATATATATATATATATATATATATATTGTCGTATATCTACCATATCCGTATCTTGAATTTATGAGTTTTGCCATTTTTTGTTTCCGTTCTGTGTTCGTTTCCCGTTGCTGTATCCGTTTTCGTGCAACTTAGCCAGTAGATAGCAATGTTTTGTTAAAAGCTATTTGAGACATTTTTTAAATTTGGAACATTTGTATAAACTATATGTTAAAAGCTAGTAGTATCAAATGCCACTTTTTGTTCAAAACAGAGGATTCTGTTAAACGTTAGAAGCTCTCAAATGCTCCGTGTCAAACACACCCATAGTCTTGGTCCCCATCATTATCCATTGTTAATACTTTTAGTCTTCACATTTCCATTTAAACAACATTGGTCCTGATGGTAGGTTTGAGAAACAATCAAGTCTTTGTCTCAATTAGGCTCCGTTAAACCTTTTCTAAAAGAGATGTAAAAAGTTGAATTTTCCCTTAAGCCTTATACCCAACATCAACCTTAGAATATGTTATAGTCACATCCTAATATCTCAACATGAATCTTCGGAGATTTCTTCCTCTACTATCACTTTCAGCTCCGGGTCTAAGTCTACTTCAAATAGAAGCAAATTGGGTGTTAGGAGAGGTGGTTTTGCATTATGTATGTCTCATGATGCAACTGCTTACAATCAATGGGTACATGATAGTCTTAATGAAGTGGTTGATAGTAAAGGTCCTAATGAAGTGGTTCATGATGGTCTTAATTAAGATGAGGTACATGATGGGCTTCATGAAGACGAAGTACATGATGGGCTTAATGAAGACAAGGTACATGATAGGATTAATGAAGACAAGGTAGTGCAAAACCATTGGAAGTTTTCCCATATTCTCCATCATAAACCCATTTGAAAAAATTGCAATAAGTTTAAGGATCCTACAAAATAAGGTACATCATATTGTTATTAAAGATTTGTAAGATAAACTATTTCATTTTTACCTAGTAATTAGGGCAACCCCAAAATCTTATTCTTGGGTTTCCCAATATTTGTGAAACATACACTGGACATATATCACAACATCCACATCTAATAATGCTCTTGTTCTTCCATCGTGGACCTCCATTGAAGTTGCATTTTCTTAAAGAAAACTTCATTATTTCTTGAGATGAGCTAAAGACTGATTCAGAGAGGATGGGTGGTTAGGGGGATATGAAGGTCATGTGAATCTTTTCAAAGGAGGAATGTGTTTGGTAGCTAATTAATCTGACATGGAATGTATAACAATTTTTTTCATTAATGTGGTAGAAGGGAATTGTTATTTTATTATATATTTTTTAAAAGTTTAACAACCATCATGTTAGGGTTGTTAAATGCATAGACTTGATTGTTACCTAAACCTACCTTAAGGACCAATGGTGTTAAAATGTCATCAGAAATACCAAAAGTGTTAAAAATGGAAAACCACATTGACAAAAACTATAATTTACTCAAAAAAAAATCATAGGGATCCAATCTGTAATCGAGACTTGTAAAAAATATCAAAACCTAGACCAAAAATGAAGAACATTGCAAACTATAGGGACCAAAAGTGAAATTCATTCATTCTCTGCAAATTAAAAATTATACTGACCAAAAGTGTACTTTTTGAAAATCAAAACTACATGGACCGGAAATAATTCATGCAAACTAAAAATTTCAGATACGAGAAATGTAACTCTAAAAACCTAAGGATCAGTTTGATAGACATCTTTCTAGGTTCAAACAAGTCTTTCAGGCTGAATGGGATGGAACAACTATTTTATTTTCACAAAAAGAAAGAGTCTTTCCCGGTAAGATACACTTTTCTCAGAAAGCCCCAAAACCATATCTTTCTGGATTTATGGGCCAGAAAGACAATTGTGCCCCAAACTTCGTCTCTTTCTTTCTTATCTTCGGCGCTCTGCATCATACACCATCTTTTTTTTCCTAATTTGTTTCTTTTGATTAGAGAGTACCAGACGTGAACCTTCATCTATTTTATCTTATTTTCTTTCTTCTGATTTTCAAGCATATGATTTAGGAGGATCATTTCCTATAAAAAGTTTCAATCATAAATTTTGGTTTTAACATACATTTTGTGTGATTTTGATTATGTATGACACATTTTATTTGGATTTTTAAATGATTATTGTGTAATTTTGAGTTTGTATGACAATTTGTATTTTTTTTAATCATTATTCAACAACTTCATCCATCACAGTATAGAATAGCAGGGTAATATCGTAATTTTTCATCATTCAACACACGAATTCAGATGTACATTGAAAAAATATGGTTTCTTTCATAGCCAATAAACTTTCTTTAGTAATCACTTTCCTAGACAGTGTCATACCCCGAGTTGACGGCAGAAACGTCGGGCTGTGCGACGTTAGAAAGTTCGATTATAGACAACAAATATATTGAAAAACACACCAAATTTACCACATAAACATTACCTTTTATTTATTTATTTTATAATATATATATTCATACTTGTTCGAGGTACATGTGCAATACAAAAGTAAAGTAAATAAGTAGAACACAAATACTTCCAACAACATCCTTGGAAATACATCCATAATCTTCAGTACTCATTCTCCTGGAATACATATGGTTTTGAAAGGTCAACATAATGTTGGTGAGTTCACATGTTTTTATGTTTTAAAATGTTTCTGTAAGGTTTTACTGTATATCAGTTCTTAGGTACTCCTAATATTTTGAACTCGCTTCCTTACATTTGTATAAGTTTACTACTTCTTAAGTTTATTCCTATTAGTATTTTTAGTTAATTCAAGCTAACAATGTTATAATGAGTTCCTATAATCAAGCTACGATTCTGCATTTCCCTGAAATCGATGCTTCATCAAACGTCGCTAAAGGTTTAGAAAGTTATGCCTGTTGTGACTCGGTCGTCAATGTTGTTGCTAGAACCCGTAGGTGGGTGTGCCTGGCCTGTATAAATGTATACATATTTTTACCGCTCATTTAAGAGTTAACGATTATAGGTAGAGGTTATCTAAAGGTTATTTAGCTAAGGGATGAATAAAGTCTCATTTAACAACTATTGATGCGTAACCGTGTTGATAGTTTCGCTTTACTTGTTGCACTATATATCCTTAATATATATATATATATATATATATATATATATATATATATATATATATATATATATATATATATATATAAAATTAAGTTCGTATAGTTTGTTTCGGTAGGATATCCGGGCATAGTAACAACTAAGTACAATGTTATCCCAAAAGTTTTTCCATGGTAAGGACAAGGTATAATGTTTCTTAGAAACTTGGCCAGCATAACAACAAGGCAAAATATTATCCTTAAAAGTTGGGCATGGTATCTACTATGCATAATATTTCCCTAACATTCTAAGCGTAACTATATCACTAATATTATACAGTTAGTAGTATTTATAAAACAATATAGTATTATAACATGTACCCCCCTCCCATAAAACATTTGAAAGTTGTAAATGTGATAGGTTTTATAGGTTACAATTCAATGCATGAGGCGAAAATAACTTCACCCTTAATTTGACATGCAACCTATTTAGATCTACTTTTTCTCTATTGATAGAATTAATATACGAATATTAAGAACCCTAATGGAAGTCTATAATAATCGAAATTCATATAGTATTAGGGTTTACATAAATTTTGATTAATATAGCGAATAATCAAATCAATTTCTTTCTTCAAAAGCCACTATTTGTTTGTACTCAAACCCTAACAATTAGAAGACTTGAGGAAAGATGAGAGGGGAGTAGAATTTTGTTTGTTCCTTTGAGTGCAAGAGTGGATGAAAATGAGGAGCCAAGGGGTCCTATTTATAGCTGATACATGGACCCTTGAAAACCTTAATTTGAATATAATATTAATATTTCAAATTAGGTAATTATCCAACTCCTAATTATCCTTAAGGAATATTCCAGATACCATAGATATGATATCCAAAACTGTCCAAGGATTGGAAGCTTTTGGAGTTCCATCTTGTTCAAATATTAAACAATTACAACTTAAGTCCTTGCACTTTTAATTAATCTAATTAGTCCCAAAATTAATTCAAATTAGATTCTGATTATTAATTAAATAATATTATTTCTAATTAATATATTAATCTCTTAATATATTAGCAAATTATTTATTACTATTTATTAATCATATAATAAATAAATAAATCAACCACTCTCTCTAAATGTCATTCTACTCAATTACTAATTTTGATGGAAATGCAAAAAGGAATATTCATTTAATTCA